TGACTATTCTGCAGGATCTCCTTTGGTACAATCTCCATTGGACTCTACTCCTAAGTAGCAGCAACTGGCAGCATCTTGATGCACGTAGATACCTAGTACTTGGCAAGCGCTGAATAGATTTCATCAGCCGAACCTTGGGGTGTACTTTGTGACGTTAACATTGTAGCAACAGTCACTAAACAGACGCCAGATCACGCTAGACACGGATGTTTAAGTTCAACTGCAGTTCTATGACGCTTTTCATTTATTGATTCTATTTAAGACGTAGTCAACTGTCACCAGTCATGGAGAAGATGGATTCTCGGGCAGAGCTGGCAACGGTTTTCGCGAATTGGTTGGTTGGGCGATAGAGCGACGCAATACATTCGGCTTTGTGTCGTGGGAAGGGGGCGATAGATCAGACGACGAGGAAAAGCCTCCAGAAGATCTTGGCGTTGGAGGAGGTGAAAGCTGCTCGCATTCAACACGATCATGATGTATGTCGTCGGCAAAAGGCCCTCGGTGTAGTTCAGTAGCATCATCGTCTCTTGATGTCGGAGCATATTGGCCTCTCTGACGGGCTGCCAGTAACGCTGCATCTTCTCCATCGTATGCACCTCCATGCATTGCTCGAACGCGAGCGGCCGATGATGCACCGTCGTAGGAAGCGAGACCAGCCTGATCCGAAAAGGGTGCGAGGTGATTTAGTGGCACACCTCGGGCGAAGATGACGAGGATCAGGCATGACATGAGCAACACGGCTTGTACTATGGCCATGCGTTTCTGAAAGACGACCTCATCGGCCAGGAGGTTGAGACGAGCGCTGAGAGCAACTATCTCTCGGTTGGACTGCTCACGCTGACTCTCCAAAGCTAGGACCGTTGATTGCCAGATCTGGTCGTACTGCTCACGAACGGAGCGCAGCTCGGCGAGAACGGTCTTGTTGAGGTTCTCGAGGAACAGTGTCGTTTTTGAAAGTTGCTTCTGCTCTGTGCGGTGCAGAGTCTCGGACATGTGGCGAGCTTGGTCCTCGACGTACTTGAGGGAGAGTGTGAGATTGGTTTCAACGATTGTAAGGCGCTTGGAGATGGACTTGAAGAATCCTTCCTGCACGGTGGGCGAGGCTGGTGAGCCAGAGGCCGTTCCCGTGGAGCCCTTCTTGGCATTAACAGTATTGGCAGGGGAGGGCTTCTGAGTAGATGATGACGCTGAGGAAGATGGTGTTGCGGTCGTCTTTGTGCCTGCTGCTGAAGTGGTGGAGTTTGATGCGGATTCGACATTGGAGGATGAGATGGAGGATGGGCTGGTTGGGGACACAGCGGGCGTGGCGCTTGGAGATGCAGTGGTGGAAGATGATGAGGCCGTGGGCTCTTCACTTGCAGGATGCTCGGATCGGGGAGTGTGTGGTGTTGACGTCCCCTTCTGTGCTCTCTCGTCGGGGGAGTTGGTTGTGGGTGCAGCGCTGGTGACTTCAGCAGAGCTACTGGGGTTTGAGACTGGTTGTGTAGTGTGATTGAGTGAGGCAGAGCAGAAGAATGGCTCGAAAAGGAGTCGCGAAGCGGTATTGACTTCACAGAATGGCATCAATCCCACCGAGCTCGGCTTGGCAGGCTCGGGAGAGCTCTCGGGTTGTTGGGGCTTCGTCGGCTCTTCTCCTGAAGGGAGAGCTTGAGGAGTCACTTTGGCCTCCTCAGCCTCATTCGTATCATCGTTACGGTCTTCGTTGAATGCAGCGAAGAAGCGCGAGCCATGGATTCGAAGTAATGAAACGGGGCAGTAGTACTGTTTCCCGTAATGGGTGAGATAGTCGATGCGGACGTACTTGGAGAAGATCTGAGCATTCTCGACCAGGAAGGGCTGAATAGCTCGTGAGTTCTCTGCCTGAAAGACTCCGATCTGTTTCCACTCGTCCCTCTTGACTGGGTACCGGTCACTAACGCTGACAGTAAAAGTTTGGATCATACTAGAAAAGAACTCGAAGTTGGCGAGGACGACGGTATCGATGTAGACATCATCGCTCAGTTCGACAATAAACCACTTCTCCTTGGCACTGCACTCGAAAAGTAGGTAAGAGTCTTTGTTCTCGACGAGAATTGCCTTTGCATTCCTTGCGCCGGGGCTCGTCTTGAGGATGGTGGCGCCGGCATCAAAGGACGAGTATGAGAATCGTTCCTTGCAAGTCTTGCCGGCATCTTTGTTTCTATGGATTGCAACACCACGGCCATCCTTTCCTGAACCCTCGTTCTTAGCTTCTTGGAGGTCTGAAGGGCGCTCATTCTGCTCTTCTGTGCCATCCATGTAGCTGCCAAAGTTCAGGGATATCTCATCTTCCTCGCCGAGGCCGCCGTAGCCCATATCCGGGGGTGTCCTGTCGCGGGGCTTGGCGTTCCTGTGTAGGTTTTGAGGGTCCTGCCCTGTCTGTTTCAACATCATGGCCTTCCAGTCCTCGAAGGACATGAAAGGCTTTGCATCTCCATCTCCATCACCATCTGTAGCGGCAGCTTCCGACTCGTCTTTGGCGGGAGTGGCGGTGGACGCTGACTGTTGGGGCTGGGATTGGGATTGGGAAGGGGAAGGGGACTCGCGTTGTGTGTTGGGGGGTGGCGCATCGCTTTGTTTCGAGTCGGGGGAGGCGTCGGAAGTCGAGTTGGCATCTGAAGGGGTTGCGCTCACAGAAGTGCTCGTCCAGGAGCTTGTGAGGCAAGCTTGGGGCAGCGTGTGGGTGATGTAGTTGATGGTTCGGGCATCACAGGTCAAGTCGATTGGGTCAGGGGTGACGCCGGGATCGTGGGACTGGGCCTCGGTGTGGGCTTGTGTCCAGGCCGCGATGAGTGCCAGAGATCGTACGAGGGCTGAGCCTAGCGAAGGCATCGTGACCTCAAGTGTTGGCGGCACATTGAAGCGTCGCTGAGGTCGAATTGCTGGCACTGACGTTGAAGTATGGGGGTTGGGTTTGTGTCGTGTCGTTGATCAGCGTTGGAACTAGACACGAAGCGGGTGTAGCGTATCCTGTACCTTGCCCCGTAGCCCAGGCTCGTTTAACTTCAGCGTGGCCCACAGACGTTGTCAGATGCTGATTGGTGCACCAACAGTAAAGTCTGTCTTGTTGATTAGATCCGTTTCTTAGATCGAGGTAAAAATAGAAATTGGGCGTTGATGACTTACACACAGAAACACTCGTCCACTATGACCTCTATAATCGATAAAAGACTGGAAATTGGGGGCTTGGATAAAGATGTTACCCCGTTGTTGGTGTCGATGCTATGAAACAGGATAGATTGACATCAGACGAAGTAAATTTGAGAAGAGAGGTACCAAGCTGGTAGGCATTCAACCTTCCTGAACTGTGTCTTTCCTGATGCCAGACCCGAAATATCAAGCTAAGATATGCAGGAACCTAGCAGAGCATACATAGTACCTACCTAAGCTACCTACCATAATTATGGGCATGGCGAGGAATATGAGCTCTTTCACTCCATAGGTTCTGTGCTCCCAGCAAACGGCTTGGAAGAATAACAAAAACTTGAAATAACTTGATTTCAGTGTATGTTTGGTTTCAACATATTTACGAAAAATGATTAAAGAACACAGAATTTATTCTTTGCTTTTCAATGAGCAGCCTAGATTGATACAGTGACTCTCCTTAGGGTAGGCAGAGTGGTAATGTGATGTCCTTGTAATTGCAGTGTTGCACTTGCTTGATCCCGACAAAACAGGTTGCCTTTTAGAGCAACTTGGGTGAGTAAATAGTTTTGTTTTGTTATAAGACTGAATTCAGGATGCTTTACTGTATAAATTTCCTTTCATTTGAGTCACTGTTGGCTGTTTGCACGGATGCGTACATGCTATCTCCTCTATCAGCTACCCTACCTACTCTTGGCGGTTGTGGCAAACCCTTTCCTTTACATGGACGTCTCTTTGAAATCCATCTCAACACTGAGAAGGTAACAGTGACCAGCCAGATCGAAACTCGGACAATTCTGCCGCTAGAATTACGTAAGCCATGCTATTCGCTACCGTCTGCCTCATTTCTGCGCTGTCGCATGTGTCTCGACTTTCGTTGGGGGGGTTACTGGCCTATCTAGATCCCAGCCTCACTTCCATTGAAAGTCGAAGAGTTCGTGATGGTTTCTTCGCTGTGAGTATTGATGGGAGACAATGAGTGTAACATACTGATCAAGTGTTTTGTCAACAAAAGCTTTTCTTTCCTATTCTCCACGTTCTCGCGAGCGATTCGTGTCGTATCGCGACTTGGCATAAGAAACAAGCACACCTACCTTTCGACGGCAGCATATACGCACCTTTCGGTTCAGCCATGTTCCCTCCATGATAGAGCCATAGAGAAGCAGTTCTCGATGAGATGTGACAGGGAGAATCAAAATCAAAACCAACATCATAGAGACCGCCCCATGACACCCTCCAACCAACGGAAGTCTCCAAAATCAAGAGCTCAGGTGCCTGGCTTCCAACCAATTCGGACTTGCTATTGCTCGAGGCTTGCAATTGTGATAGTTGTATACACGAACTGGGTCATACCGACTCATGTCTAGGCTCCAAACCCTTACCGGCGATGGAAACCTTACTCAATGTTGGCTGATCAGAACCACGCCGCAGTGTTGCTTGTGACAATTTGGCGTGCCAAGAACAAAAGAACCAGGGCCAATTTTATCCTTTTTCCCAGTTACATTTGGCTGGCCACGAAGCAAATTGAGAGATAGGAATTGCCACGCAAGTGTGCTCAAATAAAACACCCCTGGCGAAAACCAACAGCCAACTGACCATCATCTGATATTCTACAGCGGCGTTTCATTGGCACCGGATTGCCAAGAAGGCAAAATACTCACGAATTGGCGCCTTTGCCGCAGCCGAATCTCACCAAGGACAGCAATGCGACGAGCGGGCGAGAAACCCCCTGGCTTTTAGTACTCGACACACACGTTATGTGCAAGCTAAAAAGGAGCCGCAACCCCGTCGATCTTCAACCTTCTTTACCAGCTCCCTATGCACGCTCTTGAATCATTATGGGTCCTCAAGAGTTCGAACTAAGGTCGGTGGTTACCCTCACCAATGATCCAGATGGTGAGCTTCATCGACCACGGCAATCTTCAAGCTTAGCAAAAGATAAGCAAGTAATTTGCTACTACAAACGCTCACTATGGATCTTTGTCTTCTATCTCCTGATTCTCGTCCTACCGTGGATATTCACCTGTATTTTGATGGTCAGGCCCATCAACAAGGAATCATATTTCAACCAGGCGGGATCGATAACCCCTGGAGACGTGAATAATTGGCATAGATCGCGCGTTGCCCTCAGCTCTCTGACGGCACTCTCAAGTGTTATTGGACTCCCAATAGTTTCTGGCCTCCTTGCCCATGGAGCGGTTGTCTACACCCAGCGTCGAAACCCACGTCAGAAATTGAGTGTCTTGCAGCTATTTGCGCTGGCAGATAGAGAATGGTAAGACCTTCGATACCTCTTTAAACGTCCGAGCAAACTGAAGAGCACTGAAAGGTCACTTTACCTTTGGCTGGCGACTTTTCTCATCTTGATCAGTAAGTCTAAGCATACACCCTGATCCTCCACCATATGCCCCTTGAACTGACCTTTTCTGAACAGCCGCTATCCAACCACCTATACAAGCGATCCTGGTCAGAGACGAAAGAGTTGACATTGTGACGTGCAAAGGGCATCCCGCGGCGTACAGCAACCATGATTCGAGAGCTTGAAAATTTCCTTTCAGGGATTTGAATACCCAGATCATTGCGTGGGATGCGGAACCCATAGATCTGAATTTCTGCCCGCAAGACATTGTTGTCAAGAAGACCAGCCAGGAGCTACTGAGCTCCGCCAATAGCGATATCCAAACCAATTTGTGGTCTGATGAGGCTTCTCTTGGAAAAAGCCCAAATTACTATACGGACAATAGGCGGACTTTTGACTGGTATTACCAGGAGTCGTCATACGGCAGAGGCAAACGCCAGTATTATGCATCTTCCGTTCCCAATGGCACCGCTACTGGAGTCTATCGACATCACGCGGCCAGAATGGACTCTACAGCAAACTGTTACTTAACCAAAAACTTCCCGAAAGAGTGCAAGGGTGACAAACCATTCGCGCCGTCTTTCTACGAGGGTTGGCTGAATGTCGATATTTGTGCTGAGGGAAGTTACGACACTGTGGCCTGGAACACAACTCGAAACAAACAAGAGCACAATGAGACTTTGTGGTTGTCTATGAAATGGGATATTCCTGAAGGTCAAGACAGCTCTGGACAATTTCGAAATAATAATAGCTATGTCCTCAGATGCGACAGTGTCTCAAGAAGAGGGTGGTTTCAGCTCCCGAACAACGCAAACGGAGGGAATCCTGGGCCCTTACGTGACGAGTGGCCTTCGTGGCGAGAACTCAAGTACAAGTTCAACGATTATTATATCACTAGTCCTCGGTGGGATAGTGAATTTCCAGGCGACAGGTATCCCGCCGCAGAGTATGCAACCCATTCATTTATAATGTCTTTTGAATGCCCCTGGCTAAACACTTATCACTCACTAGGATCACGGACGAAGAACTACAAAACTATCGCGCTCAATGGAGCTACGCCTACCAAGGGCCCCTCGTGCCTGGCCCACTCATGACGGCGGCTCTGGCTATGTTTGGAAATTCGTCATTCTTTCATGGAGCTAGGGTTGCTGACCGAAGCACTTACAACCAGACCATCGACAACATCTGTGATAACTCGTTGTTTCCAATGCTTGGACTGATGCCGGACAGTTACAATCTGGGATGGTGCAGCCCATCTGTAAGAAATCGGAAGCATAGTCTGGAAATGCAGGATGTGATTTACCACTATTTTAACGGTCTCAAGAATGCAGAGGCCACCGAACAAGCACTCGAAAAGGCCATGTTCTTTGCAAACGAAGCCCTTCTCACCACCGCCGCCTCATTGCCCCAGAAGCGCCCCATCTTCTACAGCCCGGGGACTGCAGTCATGAAGCCGAAAGAGGATTTGGCGGCGGTGATAATTGTCACTGCACTGATAGGTCTTCAAGTTGTAGCGCTTTGTGTGCTGATGCGGTTTATTGGGCGTGTCCCTACGTGGACGGAGACTCTTGATGCGGATGCTTTGGCGCAGATCGGAGGTCAACTGAAGGAATGGGGAGAGCCCAGACCAGACCTGAGGCAGATGAATGGTATTGTGGGAGTTGATGAGACTCGACATCGGGCCGGGACGTCATCAGTCAGACTGCCGTTGGGGGAGGATGTTGCTTTGCAGTCAGGGTCTGTACATTTGACACTTGGCGGGGAGGGATTGATCAACAGAGGTGTGATGAAGAGGGTGCAAGCAGAAACGACTACTGTGGTCGAAGCGTGATAAATCTGTGTGATAAGTAAGTTTGAGGCGACTTTGATGTTGGGACCCCTTTTCAAAACTCTACCTTAATCTTAGTGCCAATCGATTTAATGTTTTATCAGGACACAATGTTTGATTTGTGTTCAAGAAAGCTGATACGCCTGGTCCCTCAGAAGCTATGCTTAGCATCTGGTGAGAGTGATTCACCAGAGCGGGAGATTGCAAACACTGAGGGCGGCAAATTGGAAGGAAAGCACTTGGTTTAGCACTTGGACAGTGGGTTGGAACCTGGCCTCGGAGAGTACGAAAACGTCTGATATTGAATTAAGTCAATAAAACAGACTGACCTAAAATCCTACTAAGCATATCCCAAGCTTGCCTAAGTCCTTTCATAGCTTAGAAGGGGGTCTAAGTCTTCTTACCTCCTGGTCCTCAACTGTTTTTCGAGGTCGAGAAGACTTGGACTCAACGGGTCTGACGTCTCGCTGCTCTCATGGGATAGATACAATGGGGAGATTATGACCCTCGCCTCGGAGCGCAATGGGCTTTCTCTTGAGACCGGAAAGGATAATTTTGTGACGTAGACTCTGATCGGCAAGGGGCCTCGCTCAGGGGTCGTATCCAGAGTCGATTGTGTCTCTTTGCTTCCGGAGGCTGGAGGCGCTGTGAGGGTAGTTTCGTGTATCTGGGGTGTCTAAGGTGCGCTTCATGAACCTGAGAGGTAGAATAACGTGTTAGTCATGTAACGAGATAACGAGAGTCAGGGTAGACTATGATACTACCACCGGGTGTCGTATGCTGTACTTAAGCCTCTTCTCATGTTCGGCGTTGGTAAACCGTCTCAGGTCTTGTAGGCGCTGATATGCTTATAGTGAAAAGATCAGAAATGAAAATGAGAAGTTGAGAGCCACTGGATAGTTTGTCAGCGTCAAGAAAACTTGACAGGGGAAACACAATCCTCTCAATAACTGGTCGTACCCCCCGCCAAGGCATCACTTTGATTTTCAACAAAGGGGAAAGGAGCTTGAGGTTCTCTTAGAGACTCTAGAGATCTCTCGGCCGGTTGCTGGACTTCGACGAGCGGTTACGGCAGTCTGGAGTGCTGGGAGAGATGAGGGAGTCCGATATCGCTGACGAGTTCGGACGAATCGAGCGCTTCAAAACATGGCAGCTTTGATATCAACACCGGACGAACAATAAGCAAAGTTTTGCAACAAGAACCGTGAGAGATATTCAAAGGTAAATCAGACATTATTGGTCAAGGAGGATCAATCGATCGCAATCCTAAATGGAACCGCAACAAGTGAGTCAAAACTGTTGGTATCATTTTACTTCACAAACACTGACATCGACTTAGGCCGGTCAAAGACCACAGACATTATCTGTCTTATTCTTCAAAATCCAACCTAAATCCGATGAGACACGAACATATCCACCTTGCGATACTTGCCAAGAAAAGATATGCATTCGCCCTAGTCAATATTCAAGCCTGTCATATTCTCGACTGCAACGCAAACGAGATATCTACAAGGCTTCGGTACCCTGTGGCGAGTTACCTGAAGCATTATGGGCTGGGTATCTCGATATTCTTCGTCGGATGGATGTCAATACGCCCCGTGCAAGTTCACAACTTTGGATGGCCGTCTCGCTACCGAAACTTCACTGGAGCTGGACAAGAACTGGGCGGATTATCGGACGAAGAACTGGCCCTACAAGACACCGTATACCTACTGAGAAGGGTCAATTGTCGAAAGCCGCTCAGTCTCAATTCGTACGTCAATCCAAACCTTGATCGGCCGCAACAGCGTCGTTGAACTCTTGAGATTCAAAATATCTCAACAGACTTGATATTCACGACTTGTTACCCTATGGCAACTTCACTACTCTAGCCCAACTTTCGGCAGTTCATCTGAGCAATTCTGATTCGCCATCTGGTTCTCTGATTCGTTCCAGTCGAAAGTGGAAGATCGGCAATGGCAGTTTCCCGTCATCCGTCCGACTATGGTTCTGAAAGTGTTTCAGGGAATTATACCCAATGAGCAGCCTACAAACTTTCGGTGATGGCTCTTCCGTCACAGACCTGAGACGATTGTTCATCTAGCCGTGTTAATGCCTGCTGACTGATTGACAGGTTGAGACGCCAACCATCAACGCTCAGACAGGGCATGCACCAGACCCCTGTTCGATCGAAGAAGCATAAACCCAACCTTAACTTTTCACAGACAAAATTCTCCAGTCAAAAGTCGAGATCTGAAACTCAGCCTTGGGCTTTATCAGATGTCGACTATAGTTTCACCGGCTCATCCTGAGAGACTTGCAGTCCCGAAGCTCTGACACTTTGACCCCTGCACAACCTGAGCGGATGAAAAAGAGCCCAGCTTGGCGTTGCAACTTCTGGGGACATGTTGCATTCTACCACGCCAGATCGATATTGTGAGACGTTGTATTACGCTTTTGTACGGTATCGTCATAGGGCTAGCTCCGGCCTCTGGTGTTGCCGGTGACAAGGAGCCCTTGATGGCGGTTTTGACATCTCTCGGCCTGCCTTTACGGCTCTGGGGATGAAATGCATCCGATCAAGAAACAACGTTGAATCTCAGCTGACAATTGTTTGTGTGTGGAAAAGTTTGTCTATAAAGATGGGGAAGAACTCCCGCTGAAATAGTTCGATTCTTCATCTCACAATCATCTTCTAGTCCATCCTTCCAAACACCAGTCATTTCCTAAAGAGGTGAGTCTTGAACACTATTCTCGACTACAAATATCAAGTTTACTAACATCGAACTCTTCAGCTGTGCTCTTGTCGGCTTTCATTCCTTCCACCGTTTCGCCTTTAGAGCTGTGCTCACAACATTCATATACCCATTTGATATTTACTGTCCAACTCCAACACTCACTCAGTCACCAACACACAACAACCAACCAAAACCGTCTTCTCAATCCTTTCAAGATGAAGTTCTCAGCTTTCTTTGTTATCGCCTCTGCCGCTTTCGCTGCCGCCGCCCCCGGTGTTGCCACCTTCTCTCAAGAGCGCGCTGCTCTCAACGAGAGTGCCCCCAGCCAGGGCCGCGAGGACGGCGGCCGTGCTGATCTCCGCGAGCCTGGACGAGAGGAGGGCCGTGAGGGTGAGCGTGAGGATGACCGAGAGGACCGTGGTGGCCGTGGTCGCCAGGATGGTCGTCTCAACCGTGGTGGCCTTGCTTTCAGCCAAGTTGACCTGAACTACCTTCTCCGCGTCAACCAGCTCAACCTCGGCAAGCTCCAGGTCCTCAGCCAGCGAAACAACTTCAACGTCGTCGTCTTCCAAGATCTCTTTGCCTCTCGGGACTTTAGCCTCCAGTCTCTTCTCCAGCTCCAGCAGCTCTCCACCATGATTGCTATTGCCGAGACTGGTATCTTCGACCAGTTTGAGCTGTCTCGATTGGACCTTGGCAACCTGAACCTTGGACTCATCAACGGCATTGCTGGCCTCAACTTGGCTCAGTTCATCGACGCTGCTCTGCAGCCCCAGATCAACATTATCTCTAAAGAGGGTGAGTCATCAAGTCGAATCGATTGTTTTAAACAAGTGCTAACTCTTCAGCAGTAACCAACAACATCATCATTGCCAAGTAAAGATGCAGGGAGTCTACTTAATGAGGGGGCAGGCACTCCTGTATACGGGCAGGCTTCGGGTCAAGCCATACCCTTCATGAGTCATGAACTATCAACCTTCGGAACGGATTAGGACTGGGCTCGCTTTCTCATGGTCACTGGATGGCTTGAAGGCGAGGGTTACTATATAATGAATGAATCTAATATTTCAATGATCTCAAGTTGCCCTTGATACATCACAAGAATTTACATCACTAGAACGATTAGTGACCCTTTCATGCTACATCTCTTTTCTATTCCATCTGAAGTCATGGCAGATGTGACCGGCAAATCAGACTTTGAGACTCAAAAAGACGATTTCTTCTTTCAGGACACTGTCAGAACGAAGTGACGTCAATGACACTCTGGTGAAGAAGCATTGGAGTAGATATGGACAACTTCAAGTCCCGTCTCTGCCAGAATCACTTCAAAAGTCTTTAAAGTCGTAGCAGGCACAGAAGGGTTCGGTGAGAATTTTGCAATATCCAAGTTTCAGTGCAGGCTTCAGATTTTTTGAGTATTTGCACTCCAATCGTGGAGAATAAAATTCAAGAAGTACTGTTGTGTGAGTTGAACTTGTTAGGAGTGAGAGAGCAAACTGTAAGAAGATATATTTTGTTCAATGCCTCTTTTTGATTTCCCATGTCAGTAAGTAACAACCGACACACCATCTTCGCAAACATGTCTCTCCCTATGTCTTTTATTACTGATGTTGAGGCAAAAGGATCGACAAAAGAGCGTAGATTTACTACATAGTGGATGAGCCAATGGCAAGTTGTTCAACTTGCGGTCAAATAAACACTTCTCGGCCTATCATAAACTCAATGGAGATCTAGAAACACAAATGGATACAGGACCAATCTCCCTCAGAAACCGCGTATAGTCGTATAAATGACGACGCTTTTGTTAATAAGCGCATTGATAGCATGATCGTTGACTCCGAGCTGTCCGTTAAGCGAAAGATAGAGTTTGCAACGGCGTCGAAAAGTTCTATGGATAGACTATCCACCAAGCAGAATACGGTATTCCGACTAGGATATCCCAGCATAGCGTCCTTCTAAATGAATTTACTATGCTCCCGGGCTTAGAGTTTCTGACAACAGCCGGCAGTTGAGCATTGACTGGGGTTTAATAGCCCATCTCGTATTACAGCATAGACCACCAATTAGAATATATAATGCCTCTACAGCCCCTGACTCGAGTCTGAGGAAACCAGCAACCGATTCAAAATGTTGTTCAAACAACTGCTCGCTTTCGGAGCTCTCGCCAATGGTCTGGCTACCCGCCAGGAGAAGCCAATCTGGCTGACACTCCCACCCACGCCAGACCTACCAGCACCCATCACCCACAAAACAACTCCCATCAACAATGTTTCTCTCTGGATGCAGGAGTACAACAAGAAAGCAGATGCTATCCCTATCGTTATGGATCACGGCGGTCTAGGTTACTCTGCATACTTTGGATCTGTCATCTCTCGTCTCATCAAGCATGGATACTATGTCATTGCTGTTGATCGTCGAGGCCACGGTCGTTCAACGTTCAACAAGGACGATGTCTTTACATATGAAGGATTCGCTCAAGATACGAATGATCTTCTGAAGAAACATGGTATTACCGAGTACAACGTCGTTGGCTGGTCAGATGGTGCCATCACAACTCTCGCTGCACTCATCGACCCCGTCATGTCAGAGCCTATCAAGAAGGCCTTTATCTTTGGAGGATCAGCCAACCCCGAGCAGACCAACGCCACGTTCTCAAGCACATACATCTTCTCAGAGTTTGTCTCTCGCTGTCGTACTGAATACGCTGAACTGCAGCCTCACGCCAACTTTACCCTCTTCGGTACCAAAGTTGCCACTATGGAGGCTACACTACCCCAGTTCACAGATGAGCAGCTTGGATCTATCGATGGACCGAGGGTTATTGTTGTGGGAGCTGAGCATGAGGAGGCCGTGAACAGGGATGTACCTGAGAAGTTGCACAAGGCTATCAAGGGGAGTCATATCGAGATTTTGACTGGAGTGAGCCACTTTGCGCCGCTTCAGGATCCTGGTCAGTTCACGAAAGCTGTTGAGGAGTGGTTTAAGGCACCAATCCCTTGAGTCTATTGTACAGCGGCAGTAGTTTAGAAACAAAAAATCTGCGTGATCAGACTTCTCTCTGAATCTACACAATAACACTCCTGTTACATGGAAATATGAAATTTGTATCGTTACGATCAAGCTGTCAGTATCTAGATATAGAAAGAATAAGAAAGAGAACTAAGACAGCTTTCTTCGAGGTTTACCACGATCTTGTCAGCAGAGGTACGATTTATGGGAGGATCAGACTAGGTAGGTACAATCACAAATCTCCAAGGTTAGATAGAAGTTCAACGTCGGTTCGTCTAATATAGCGGAGATTGGTTTACTACCACTTTGCTTTTATATTTTCTATTTGCTATGTATATGGACTTTCCGGCTTCACATAATGCCACATTTGTCAAGTCAATATTTCCGGTACTTGTGTTAACAAACTAACTTACGGTTCAGCCCCAGAAGAGAGGCTAATGTAGATGGCAAGACATTGCCCTGTCACCCACCCAGCAACACCCAACTCAAACAAGGACTCTTGAGATGAAAATGGTTGTTCATAGGTCGAACCACATAGCAGGTAGGTTATACCACCCAAACACGACGCACGTAGTACCCCAAAGACTCTCCACAACCATCAACACCTCAGCGAGGAAGAAATAGAACACCACGTAAACCGACCACCCAAACAGCGTTCCTGGAAAATGGCCCTCAGTAACAAGGGTATACAGAGCGACTACGAGCTTGGCCCCCCAGAGACCGAGATAAATATCCCATCTGCGACTGGCTTCGTGCACATCGTACCATGCATGCTGGTTGGCAAGAGATCGCCGGGCGTCTTCTCTTGGGTCTCCGGTGCGTTGGAAGTCACTGGGTGTCTGGAAGATATGCTCTGGGGGTGCTGTGCCAATGATTTTGACAAAGATGAAGACAAGAGCTGTGAATGTGATGAAGGAAATCATGGTGAATGTCGTTAAGAAGTTTATTTGAGGATAAAAAGGTGTTTATTTGTTGAGATGAGATTGCTGAGATGGAATCTGATGAGTTGATATAAGTGTCCTGGTCTATCTCGAGCTACAGTCTGAGAAGGCCGCCGCGAGCTTTATACTTCCTGTAATACTGAAATTGCTCATATAAATCGTTGTTGTTCTTTTACCAAGAGTCTTGTGGGTTCTGGAAACGACCAGCACTGGTGTGAAATGTGAACACTCGTTGTCCTTCGTGAACTCATATGATGATACAAAGACTACCAATGACAAAGTGATTCTGCGAACAAGGTATGATCCGCACATCATGATCGTGTATTTTGATCTCATGATACATTAAATCTACATACGAGGTATCCCCAACGCAATCATACAAGCAATCATTGCAAAGCTGATATCCATTCCCAACCTCTTCGCCAAAACACCCGTCCTCATTACAGCATCAGACTAACACACTGTCTCTTTTAACCAACAACAGCAGTCTGCCGTCTCGCTTGGCTGTTACCGCCGGTCTTTTTCTGAGTACCAGGTCGTGCCAGAGTGTACTTGGCGAACGCCCTCGCGAGAGCCTTCTTGCAACTAACTTTCTGGCTGCCCACGAAGCTGTCCACTGTGACGGCGATGGCGCGGTCGATGTCTTGTGATGAGCAGTATTCTGAGAGGCGCATTCGGCAGAAGGCTTCGGCGATGCGGATGATAGCTTCGAGATGTCGAACCTGGTTGTGTTAGTATGAGATGTCGCGGAGTTGATGTTGTGGGATCAACTTACTGTGATGGGGTAGGCTCCAGTGGCAAGAGACTCTCGTCTCATGTCGGCAAACAGTCGTGCAATCTTGTCCTCATCGACATGGTAAAGCTTCGGCGAGCAGTGCTCCCGAGCATAGAGGATATACTTCCTTAGTAGCTCTTGAGGAATCTCACCCTCAGCCTTGCGACCACCATTAGTGGCTTGTGTCTCAGCTTGTGTATCATGTTCAACCTCCATTGAGTCCTGCTCCGCTTGGCTAAGAGGGTGACTTCGGCTATGTGATCCGACGATGAATCGTGCCAGACGCTCATCCTCTTCGGGCTCAACAGTGTCTCGTACCACACACAGGATGTCAAAACGAGACAAGATAGGCTCTGTCAACTCGACATTGGCAGAGAATGGGGCAGTGGAGTTGTATCGTCCGCCGATGGGATTGGCGGCAGCAATGACACCACATCGAGCTTGCAGAGTAGTGACAATACCGGCCTTGGAGATGGAGATGGTCTGTTGCTCCATGGCTTCGTGAATGGATGTTCGATCTTGGTCGTTCATCTTGTCAAACTCATCAATGAGGCAAGTTCCACGATCCGCCAACACCAGAGCACCACCTTCCAATGTCCATTCACTGGTGAGAGGGTCTCTTCGGACACTGGCCGTCAGACCGACAGCACTGGCACCCTGACCTGTAGCAAACACAGCTCGGTGGGCTGTCTTCTCAGCATACTTGAGAATCTGGGATTTGGCTGTACCAGGATCGCCGAGGAGAAGCACGTTGATGTCACCTCGGAGATGATGAGCACCCCTGGTGACCTTGGCAACACCACCGAAGAGTGATAAAGCCACGGCGGTCTTGATGTCAGTATGTCCGTAAATACTAGGTGCTATCGAGTTGATGATCTTGTCCACGATGTTGGGGTCGCGAGACAACTTGCGGATTGTGTGCTCATCCTCCTCAGTCATTCGGAAACCAGCCAGCTGGTCATGAGACTTGACAACGTTGTTTGCTTCGAGAATAGTAGCAAAAACAGGGAAGCCATTGCGATTGTTGAGCTGAGCATCATAATTGTTGCGGTAGATTCCAGTGACTTCAATCTCCTCACCAGGCTTTGCCTTGTCGATCAGATCCCAGAGAAGGATAACCTCGCGCGATCGTGGCAATCGACCAGCAGGTACTGTTCCAGGAGACTCTTGGAGAGTGAGTTTCTGGTAGTTTCGGTAGACCGTCTTCTCGGAGTTGAGAGTGAAGGGACCTCGCGACTGGCAACTTTGACAGAATGTGATCTTGACTTCAACATTTGACTCTTGCTGGAAAGGTCCGAGAGTCACACCGCACTTGCTGCAGTCAAACTTGACGTACTTGAGCTGAGGGAAGACACCCGATCGTCGGGTAACGACACCGCTGACTCGAACGAGACAGTTGAGGTGAGACTGACGGAGTTGTCGCAGTGTGTAGTGCACAGGTAGATCAAAGATACGAACGTGAATCTCGGCGTGAATGCGCTCGTAATCGGGGTAGTGAAGCAGAACAACGTCCATGGCAACCTCGTCGAACAACTTGATCATCTCTTGAGGCGCATTGGCCAAGAAGTAAGCCAGAATGGCCTTGCTTTCGGAGAGGTGCTCGTATGAGACCTCAAGAGACTCGGCGTTGATCTCACCGAGTGTTCGGATTCGGTTACCGTACACGGATGAACCAGAGCTATCGGTGTAGGATGTGAGGAAAGCCTTGAACTCGCGCCTGATGGTTCGCTGGACTGAGGGTTGTGACACCCACTCAGTGAGGTTGGAAGCCTTGACATCAGCAAGTGCTTCGAGCGAGAGTTCCTCGGCCATAATGTCGGTGTCCATGAGGTCGTCGGGATCTTCATCGTAATGGTGACGGCGACGTCGGGGCTGAGCTGTGAGATCGATATCGCCATCATCTTCGTCACCATCAAGGTAAATATTGGGAATTTCCCTTCTGACTGCCTGATCTCTTCGGTTGAGCTGAGCTTCTAGCCGACGTCGATCGGCAATGTTCATCTCGTCATAATCGCCCTCGTCGTCGATGCCAATGCCTTCGTACATGTCGTTCTCTCGTTCTTGGTAATCGGCCTCGTAGCCTTCACGGAACAGATCAACGTCGTCTTCTGCCATTTCGTCAAGCTCATCGATATCGTCTTGGATCTGGGCCTCCTCTTCGATGTCATCGTCGTCCTCGACACCATGTGCCATGTTGAACTCGGCAGGGGGCGAAGAAGGCATGGGACTCGAGCCAAAGGCTGCTGGTGAAGGGCCATCGCTTCCTCCTGTTCGAGATCGCTTTCTATTCGGACGAGCCGAAGAAGGGTGTAGCGGGGAACTTGAAGTGGTTGTTAGCTAATTTTCTTTTGTATAAATGGTGAAGAACACCCTGGAGAGACAAACCTCATGATTGCAACTCTTCAATGATATCGAGATTTGGTGATATCGTGGTAGAGTATCTGAGTAATTCTGGAGACCAAAAGTTTGGATTGAACTGAGAATGTCAAGATTGAGGGGCTCAATTTGTGTTGATGGTTGGAAGGGAAACGATAGCATGAAAGTGGGTGCAGTTGACAAGGGGTAATTTCGCGTATCAAGGCGCGACTTGACGCGTTAATTGATTGGTACTGACGTGCCACGCGTAAAGTGGTTTGCCTCCAGCGACAGAATACTTGACACAAACCTTACAGTAAACTTCCCTGTAGATGCCCGCGTTATTATAGCACCTCACAAGCTTCGCAACCTCCAACTCGAGCTGTAAGGTACCGACTGTCGCACTGCCGATAACGTAGCTGACCCTTCTCCTCATCTTGTCCTTGTAAAAGTATCAAACCTTGCATCACCCATCAATTCCGACAAATCTGTCATCCGATGCTTTAATTTTCATCTTTCATCTGTTTCTCTCTTTTCCAAATTTATCTCCAATACTTCAAAGTTTTACCGTTTCATCAATCGCAATCATGTCTGCAGATGCTCCCTCTGCCTCCGCGCCCGCGCAAGATGCGCCTCAACAACAACCTCGAGAACGCAAGGAGAGCTTTTCTGGAAAATCGGAAACCTCCGAGACATCGCAAACAGCTGCTGAGTAGGATGCCAATTTCTCTGAACATGTAATAGCATCTCTAACACCAACTAGGTTTATTCGATCTCAGGAAGCTCTTGAAGCTGATGCCCGCGAGGCCCTGCCTTACGTATATTTTCACTCCTCTTACGATCGCGGCATACACTTACGGTTCTTTAGAGCATTGACACATGCACCAAAATCCTCGGTCCTCTGCGACAAGCTGTCTTTGCCTGCTTGACCTGCAACCCACCACCAGCGAAAGAAGGCGACGACTGGACACCCGCTGGTGTCTGCTATGCCTGCTCCATCCAATGTCACGGCGAACACACTCTCGTCGAGATCTTCCAGAAGCGCAACTTCACATGCGACTGCGGTACCAAGCGCATCCCATCCACAAGCCCATGTACTCTCCGCTTGAACGAGGCCACCAACACTCGAGGCGGAGTTCACTCCGAGGAGCCCGACGTGAACAACAAGTACAATCACAACTTCCGCAATAGGTTCTGCGGGTGCGAGTGCGACTATGATCCGTTTCAACAGAAGGGTACAATGTTCCAGTGTCTTGGTCTGGGAACTACTGAAACAGGAGGATGCGGCGAAGACTGGTATCATCCAGGATGTCTTGTTGGCATGGGACCGAACTGGTTCGAGAAGATGGAGAAGCCAAAGAAGGCGGCCAAGGAGAGTGCTGACGAAGGCAAGCTGACGACCATCACCGAGGGTAATGAAGAGCAGCAGAATTCTGCCGAGAAGCCCGGAGAGACAAACGGTGCCGCCCAGCCTGCTGCTGAGGAAGAGGAAGATGATGAAGACGTCCCCATGCCCCCAGGATTCCCAGAGGAAGATGCCTTCGAAGCCTTCCTATGCTACAAGTGTGTCGATGCGCATCCCTGGATCAAGCGCTACGCAGGAACTTCCGGCTTTCTTCCAGCAGTCTTCGTCAACCAAGCCGACTCCGAGACAAAAGTCGAGGCAGCCCCTGTTGAAGAGGAGTCTTCTGCTACTACTGAGCAAGCTCCTACAGACGATCCCGCTCAAGGCTCGCGAAAGCGCAAGGCCGAAGATGATGCCGAGGAGTCTACAGAAGCTAAGCGTGTAAAGAGCGAGTCCCTGTCTGGAGATGTGAAGCCCGCAGAGACAACCTCTACAGATACACTTCCGTGCAAGCTGAAGAATTTCCCTCACGCCCCTCAGGGCCAGTTCTCGCTTTTCATGAAGGAAGACTTCCGCGAAGCCTTCTGCCGCTGCTCATCCTGCTATCCCAACCTCAACCCCCACCCTCAGCTCCTCGAAGAGGAAGAAGTCTACGAACCACCTCTGTCCGACGATGGTTCCCAAGCAGGTGGCAATGGCGGTGGTTCCCACGGTAGTGGCAGTCTTCTTGAGCGTGGTGAGAGCGCACTCCGCAATGTCGATCGCGTACGAGCCATTGAGGGTGTCATGGCTTATAACCACCTCAAGGAACGACTCAAGCCTTTCTTCCAGCAGTTCGCCGAGAGTGGACAAGCTATTGGCGCTGAGGATATCAAAGCATACTTTGCCAAGCTGAGAGGTGATGAGCAGGGTATCGAGGAGGCAGCTGCTGGAGCCAAGGATGGTGAGGGTGGTGGTAGCGGCGATGGAGGTTCACGAAAGGAGCAAAGTGGTTATTGATCATTAGAATGTGGGACATGAACATGAAATTGATGTTACAAGGGCGAGCGGGGAGTTGACCGGACTGGATACCACGGTTGGGTTGTTTGCTGTAAGAGTAGTGTACAATACGGGCGGCATACGATAATTTGATACCAGAAATCGAGATAAAACGATAGTAAAGATGATACTTCATACAAAGCTTAACTGGTTTCATTTATTGATGGCCTCTATTCATCATGATCAACACCGTGTTAGGGAAGATATTCTTCGTGGCCTTGATGCTCATGGAAGCCAAGCCAGAGCATGTTTCTAACACATAAAATCCATTTATTCCTATAGTACATATCCATTCATGTCTTGGGTATCGCTAAATCAAAACATTCCCATTTTTTCAAGTCGTCTCCATTCCCTTCAAAAACTCCCCCCTACTGCCCCGTCGACCCTGTACTTGATGCCGCACTCGACGGCCGAGGTGGCAGCGCAGGTACACCATGCGAAGCCCCAGAATCTTCCCTCTGCATCGGAATACCCCCCATCATGCCCATCCCAATGCCCATACCCGGTAGGGGCAGCTGAGGCTGCGGACCTTGTCCATCACTATCCTCCGCCTGACTGTCCAGCTGCTCCTGCGCCGCCTTGAGGTCCAGTTCATGCAACCTTTGCTTTTCAGCAGGATCGATAATATCATCATCGTCGCTCCAGTAAGGATCATCATCGTCGAGTTCAGGCATGGCCATGCGCTTCCAGAACCGCAACTCCTGACGATGCGCCTTCTCATCGACGAGTTTATTCCAGCGCCCTTCGTCCTCGTCGTACTTGCGCCGGTACTCGCGAAGGCTTTCGTTGGCGCGACCTGCGTGCGCTTGCATCTGCCAGATTTGTTCGCGGAGACGGGCATTCTCGTCGCGTGCGTCGGCGAGTTGCTTGCGGTAGGAGCGGTGCCAGGCGGCTACGTCGCTGACGTGCTTGGTCTTGTACTCGTGGAATTGTCGAAGGAGGTTAGCCATGGCGTTGGCGTATTGCGAGAGGAGTTTGGCATTGGCGTCACGGCTGAACTTTGCCTTTTCGAGAGATTCTGTGAGGAGCGATACGAGAGCGTCGATGTTTTGTTCTTGGCCTGGAGTAAGTTAGCTGGTGGTTCAGTGAGTGTAAGGTAGGAGACATACCATTTATATCATCGGCAGCATTTTCGATTACTTGTGAATTGCTGACCCCCTGCGCCCTCGCCCTGTTCCTCACTCTCCCTAATCCATTGACAATATCCTCTGTGACTCTTCGGTTCTCTGCAAGTTGGCGGCTGAGCTCCTCAACCATACCATAGATGTAGTTAAGTTCAGCTTGGTGGCCCGCAGGCGTAGGAACAGGCATCCCAGCAGCCATGTTCGTCCCATTCATACCATTCATCATAGCGATCTGCTGCTGCTGCCACTGATGCTGCGGCTGCGGGGAGTACTGCTGCTGCTGTTGTTGGTACTGCTGTTGTTGCTGCTGCTGGTAATGACGCGCCGTGGACGTTGGGGATGGCGCAGGCGCGGGAGAAGAAGGTGAGGATAGAGATGGATCGTGGGGGCTCGGGCTTGGAGGCGCTTGAAAGCTCATGTCTTGTCCACTCGGGAACCTGGGCCTCGAGCGTTTGGAGGATGGTGTTGGTTGTCTTAGCCTTGTTTGTGGATGGAGCTGGATGCTTGATTTGGTATAGCCTAGCGGTTCTCCCCCTCAGTGTTGCGACACTTCACCAGCACTCGGAGGGGCGCAAAATTATTTTGCCGACGACAGTGGACCTTGATTGACAACGATTGAAGAAAACCCCTGAACAAAATGCTCATAGAAGGGTCTTTATAATACAAGCAATGTTTTCAATGAAGCTTGCTAATTATCTGGCGCTTCAGGACAAACTTCAATGGATTATATCTACTAGAGATGAGCTACCCTCTGAGCGTGGACCATGAGATTCGGAAACAAGTCGCTCCCAACTATACCACAGCGGCATCACTTATACTGGCAAGCTCATTTGATTGTCTCTTATTTTGATCATTGACTTTTTGTATCCTTTTACATTTCTCACAACTCCAGCCGGATTGAACTCAATCCGCCCCTTTAGGGTAGTTTTTATGAGAAGTCATCTAAGCGAGTGACTGCTGAGCAAGGTAGCGACTGTCACTACTATAAGAAAGGAAAGCTGTATAAAATCTCAGGTCATTTACGTCGTTTCGTCATATCGTTGAGTGCATTACACTGGTTCGTAACATGGGTCCTGTAGTCAGTCACCAAGCGCCAATTTTTTCTTTCACTCTGGAGTGTCAACCTCCATCCTGTCTTCTGAAGGCTTCGTGTCCATGATCAAGGAGTCTTCCGCCGGCTGTGAGGGTTCAAGTGTCGATGTCGATGTCATAGTCGACTCTTTCTGTTCAAAGACAGGGGGAACAGCTGCGCTGCTGCCACTCGTAGTAGCCCCGCCGCCTCCCATACCGTTGCTTGCTGACAACCGGTACTCGCCATCAGGCTTGCGCTCAATGATACCCTCATCCAGCGCCCACTGGGCTAAAAGGCCATCGACTCCAAGCCTGCCACCTTCGCCCTTCTCCATGTGTCGACCGACATGTTCAGTCCACTCATCCCATGACGATGGGCCTTCGAAGATGCTCTGGCAGCCTTGCTTCGGACATGCTGAGCGCTGCGGGGGTAACCGACGCTGAACCAGGCACGACA